AATAAAATTAAGTATTTGTAAAAAATTTTTTTATAATTATAGTTATTACTATTTGTGCTTTTTTTATTTATATGTTTCATTTACTTTAGCAAAGCAATGTTTGTTGGAGAGATTAAATGGGATTAACAAAACTAAACGTTTTATACTGCTTACTTGAAAACTTGTACTATCTAATAATTATTAGAAGAATTTTTTTGTAAGATACTAAAATGCAAGATTAAAAGCCAATACGATGTATGTAATAGCCAATCAGATATGAGGATTGACGTGTGGATTATTCTAGAGCTTGATTTCCTAATTAGGAATATCAGCAGACTGTATTATCAAATGATGGTATTGCAGCATATAGACAGTTTCAGAAGGCTTGCAAACTTGATATTGTTCATCATCAATCCAGAAATTTAGAGAAGCAATACAATTTTCAAAATATTTTACTTAGGTTGCATGATGGCGATTCTATAACAGAGAATTGGAGAGCACTTACCACATAGTTCAAAGGTTCACCAAGTATTTTTCTAACAAAATATAAGCAATTTTCAGATGCTTCATAAATTTTATTCAGAAAAAATTGATGTTAATAAAATTAATATTAACAAACTAAGATCATTAAACTATCCAATTGCCAGAATTAATACTATTCATACTGGAGGCACTGAAGCATCTAAAGCTGACTTTGATGTTGCAAAAGGTCTTGAAACATATTTATTGTTGGCGAGAGGTGCTTGTGTTATGCTTAGAATGAACTTGTGTATAGAAGCAGAATTAGTTAATAGAACAGTAGGGATAGTGCAAGATATTTTGTTTAAAAAAAGTTAAGGCCCACCTTTACTCTCTATCACAGTCTTCGTAGAATTTAATACTTATAGTAGTCCTGCAATTACATCTACAGAAGATAAAAGAATTGTCCCTATTCTACCTATCTGATGTTCTTGGGACATGAGTACAAAAACTTGTTCATGATTACAGATCCCTCTTAGTCTTTTCTGGGCTATAACAGTACATAAATATCAGAAAATTTTAAAGCCTGATTATAATCATTTCAAAACAGTTTATCGATTATAATTGATTGGCTTTAAGTGATTATAACTGACAGTGGTGTTAATAATTGATTAATATCAAAATTGATAATAATTGTTAATGATAAAAATTGATACAATCTAAAAGATTATAATCGATAGCAATGATTTATATCAATTATAATTGATAAAAATCTAATTGATTTTAATCGACGGTGGTGATAAAAATTGTTTAAAATCCTTAAATTTTAATCAATTATAATCTAATTTTAAATTTTCCTGTTGAAAGTCAAGAATTAATGCTATCAAATGCGATGATAAATCTTGAAAAAAAAGAGTATATATCTGGTCTTTTATTTGTTGCTTTATCTCGAGTCCATACTATTAAAAATATTATTTTTGATCTATTCTCGCTTGAAAGACTCCAAAGAATTAAGTACTATAAAAGATAACAAGAGAGGAAAGATGAAGAGATGCGATTAGTCTCCATGATGGCTTGACTCAATCAATTACAGATAAATTAAGAATTTGAAAAAATTTGAAACTTGTTTTAATGTATATAATAAATCTGATTAGATTTGGATTTAATAATTAGATTTAGATTTAATATATAATAATAAGTCCAATTCTAAATTTTATAGTGTATTTATCTCTGTATTAGTGGTTAAAAATCTTTTAATTCTAAAATATTGTTTTGAAAGTTTTATTCATGAATGTACTGAACTTTTTATTCTTGTAGTATATACTATGAATAATATGAATTAATTTACAACCATGTTACTATGTGACTATTTGAACAAATAAAATAATTATTAATTATAATTTTCATATTTCATGAGTTTGTCATATTAGTAATTATTTTTGAACCTGAACTAATTTTATATTTATAACATAAAATTTTGGTCCAGATTCAAAAATAATCACCTATATCTATATTAACTATTTTGATAGGTTCTGTCATAATTCAAAAAAAAGTTGATTTTGACAAATTACTAATTATTTTTATAGTTATTTAATTATGATAGCATCTATAATACTATATGCTTAATTACTGTGATAACAATAATGTTAGAAGAGTAATGATAACTATATACGATAGGCCAAACTATTCCCTGTCTATGTGGTATTATTTTAGGATTCATATAACAATTTTCTTTTCTGGTACTGGTATATTAACAAGTAAATAAACTATCATATACACTTTTTAAAGATCTGCGTGAATACTAATTATTTTATGACAGGAGAGTAGTTTGGCCTGTTGTATACTGATATGGATAAATTGACTTCTATTGAATATAGTTATTCAATATTATTACATGAATTCAAGGACATGCATATCTGTGAAGTCTAGCTTATAAATTACTCTACGTAGTTTACAAGTTAATTTCTATAACAGTTTAGAGTATAGCAATATAAATTTAAAATTATATATTTATTTGTATAAAGCTATATAAAGATATTTTTAAAAAGCAAGAATACTTATATATAGAGTTTAACATCTTTTAAGTATATATAGTAGTAAATAAAACATATAAATAAAAAAAGCACAAATAGTAATAACTATAATTATAAAAAAATTTTTTACAAATACTTAATTTTATT